CAAGAATCCTTTTATGACCCTCTTTGAAACCCTTGTAGCGCATCAACCTACAAATGGGATACATTCAGCATAGAACATATCACTACTAAAACTATATTACAACTACAGTACGCATGTCAACCAAGAGCCAGAACAGAAGTGCATTATATTATTGAAATTAAAATACACTTAAAATGACAGTCACTTCTAAGATAAAAACCACAAAAATCATTTTCAATGAGGTCATAAAAATCAACATAACCCCATAACAAAATACAACATCAGATGTATAGTGAAAAGTAAGGTGTAATAGCCTAGAAAGAAGCCAAGTAAATTTCAATTCCATGTTAACAACACACATTCCATACATAATCAAATCCATACCAAAGAAACAAACCAATACAATATAAAATACAAGTTTACTATGCATATTCTAGCTTTTCAAATGAGGTTTCCAAGACTTCATCCAAAGTAAAGGAATATATGAAACACTTAATTTTGATTTTTTCAAAACATGGGTTTGCAAAAACAAACCAACATTGTTTCGTTGTTCTGAAACATCCAAAACCATGGTAATAAAACATAATCAAACACCAAAAACACGATTTATACACCAAACCCGACCCAATTCTTAAATGACGTTAGACTGGCATTAACAGAAATACCATTGACACCAATTAAAGCAATAAATTTTGTCCAAAATAAATGCACCAGCAGACCAAGTTAACCAAAGGCAAAACAAAGTAGATTACAGCATGTGGGGAAAAAAGACCATGAATGACTGCAACAGGGTGTTTATAATAATATAATATGTAAAATCTATAAACCTTTCTTCCTGTGACATGCTAGAATGGATGCAAATAGAGGGAAAATTACACTCCACAAGTAACATGTTCAGCTCAGCTACTATGTTCATACTTTTAACAAGGATAACAAGTTGATTAAAGTCCAATGCATCAAGAAGATTGTTCAACTTTTGATTTTTCTCCAACTCAATTAGTTTGATGTAGTGCTGCCATTTCAGTTTTGATAGTCAGATGGAAGTTCAAAAACTGGTATAATACTGTCTTGTCAAGAGGAGAAGAATTATAACATTGGCATGGCATCACCATCTGCCATCCAATTGGATTCCTCAACGTGGAGCATTGTTTTAAAGGTTCAAAGATGAACACATCTCTTACAAAAGCTAGACTTGTCCTTAGTGAAAAGCTAGCCTCAATACAATTTCTTTATTTCATACTTGAGACCTTATTTTCTCTCATTAATCTATATCCTCTCTCCATATGGTAGGACCATATCTCCACTTTCTATCTTCACTCATTCTACATCTCTCTGTAACATCTGCTTTATCCCACCTCTCTTTCTCCTTTCTACCCTTTTATTTCTTAACCCAATTTTTTCCTCTCCTCATTATCTTCTCACTCAAACCCCAGCTCTATAGCATTTTAATCTGAAATTGTCTAGCTCCTTTTAAAACCACTATAAAACAACAACACAAATCTGAATGCATGCCTGTACAAGACCATTAAGGGTCAACTTGGCTTCATTATCAACGTAAATTTTCATTGGCTGAAAGGAACAAATGTCACAATAAATCATATTAGAAGCCTTCGTGAAGCTAATGCTATCCAGAAGAAAATGATAGATGGATTTACATCCCTTCAATCAAGATTTCGGTCCATACGAATCATCTCTTTACAGATATTTTTTTATAGTCATATTAAGCAAGGCCACTATAGCTCAACATAACTCTATTTTACAACTGAAAGCGCCACATATAAAGGAGAAACCCCCACCCCATCCAACAAATTCCCACTCCCCAAACCACACCCCCCCAAAAGAAGAAGAAGAAGAAGTAAGAAGGGCATAACCTAGCACATGTAAAAAAATAAAAAAATAAACAAAAAAAAGAAAGACACAACCACACCCCACTTCGGCACCTGTCACAAACTTGAGGCTTGTGATTCCAACCCAACAAAATATAATTTCCCCACAATGACCACTTATCATTATTCCTGATGGAGAACTGAATCCTAAATATCTATAGAAGACTCGCAAGGACATCTGGCAATATTAAAAAGAAAAGACTTCTAAATTCAAGTAGAACTAGTTATAGGACATTATATCTTGCATGAATTTTTTGCAAACTGGGCGGATTTCTTTGCTGAGTGTTGCAAAAAACATCATAACTTGCTTATCATGAGGAGTCATCTTGAAGATCTCTTGAATATCTCTCCTTATGTCTGCAAAAAACATCAATTATACAAAGAAATAAGGGATATGCATGATTACAACATTAATATCAAATTAAAATGGAGAATGGAGGACCTCAGGGCTAAGATTTTAGGATAAAAACATAGGAGGACCTCAGGGCTAAGATTTTACGATAAAAACATACAGAGTGATTCCAGCATTTTGTCACATTCATCAAGGATAAAATGCCTGACATTCTTCAAAGAAAGGTCTTTATCTCTAGCCAGTGCCAAGATTCTTTCAAGAGTTCCAACAACAATATGTGGGCATTCATTTTTCAATAAATCTTTATGAGTTTTGACATTGACACCACCATAGAAAATAACAACCTTTGTATTGGGCAAGTAAGTACCGAACCTCTCAAACTCGTGACAGATCTATTAAGTAAAAAATAGTAAAAAAATGAGGAAAAATGAAATGCAACACGAAGCAAATGTAACATAAGTAAATGGGAAATCTAGTTTGTTACTTTAAAATTACCTGGTAAGCCAACTCTCTAGTGTGACATAGAACAAGGGTAATAACTTATCCAGAGGTAGGCTCAATTTGCTGAAGAGTAGACAGAATAAAAACATCAGTCTTTCCCATTCCATATTTAGCTTGGCAGATGACATTCATTCCCAAGATGGCTTGGGGAATACACTTATGTTGCACTGCTGAATTACTAAAGAAAATTATACGGAAGGAACCCTTGGTAAGTAAAACATAACCTCTCTGATCTTTTAATTGAAAAGGTTTACCATAAAAGAATACAACTCCAAAATCAAGATTGTGATAATTGTATATTACTTGAAAAGATAAACACCACAATGATTAAGGATGCAAAAAAGACATCAACGAACATGGGAAAGCTACAAATTCAGTTAATTAAAGTGTTAGCACATTCACATAAAAGCATAAAAATCAAAAAAATAAAGCTATGCATTCCACTCAAATTTATATATTAATATGCATGATGTCATTGGAAATTGTATACTTTTTTAGGCAGATAGTCAAAGTTTATTAGCACGACTAAAAAACATAATTTCAACACAAATCCCTTAGAAGAAGTAAAATTTGTACATTAAAGACAATACTGAGTAAAAATTGAGAAAATCAGAAGAGCATAGCAATAGATTACCTTCGGAAGGACGCTCGAAACTCGAGTCAATAATGGACTGAAGAAGCTTAGGCTTCAAAAGAAAGTCTTTGAATCTCGAATTGTGAATTCCAACATATCCCCTGTACACCAAAAAATAAAACACCAATGTAAATAAAAACACAAATAAAACTACAAGACACAAGCTTGGATAACTGATTTATCAATCTCCATCAAAATTTATAAAAAGCCGGCCTTTCAACACAAAACAAAACTCACTTCTTAACGGCTTCGTCGTTAACTTTAGCTCTAACGAAGTCAGATGCTTTGTCATCTTCTTCTTCGTAGTCGAGAAGCTCTTCCTCATAAGCATCGTTGTCTCTTGTTTCACCCATGATTTCTACAACAAACAAACACATATCTTGAAATTAGTGTCAATGATATTAGAGCTTTTTAACGAAAACGAATATAGATCTAATAAATTAGGGTTTTGCAGTGAAATTGAGTTGTGAATTGGAGAGAGAAAGGGGGAATACTTGTGAAAGTAAAATGAAGACGGGGTTTAAGAGCTTAGGGTTAGGGTTTGCTGCAAAGTAAAACAATTAGCAAGAAATTTAAAGAAAATACTTTTTTAAGAGACATAGAAAGAGAGAGAGTAAAGGCTCGAAGCGTAGAGCTTAACAAAATAGTATAAGGCTTCAATGGTAAATGATTTTTATAGTAAAAAAGGTGTGATAGAGGGAGAGAAGTTGGGAGATATTTTGTTTGAATTGACCTTAATGGCCCTATGGTTCGTTGTTAATTTCGATTGAGCTTTTTGTTTTTCCAATTTATCTTTTACACTTGCCTTTTCTTTTTCTTTTTCTTTTTCTTTTCTTTAGCCAGGATTGGATTTTAATGCAATTTATTTGGCAAAGTCTATGTTTGCATTTATACTTGTATTTTAAAATATTTAATTAATATTTTTCAGTAATTTTGATACAATGACATCAAAAAAAATATTAAAAATTATTTATATATTTTCTACATCATAATACTAAATTTATATAAAATATAAATTATTTCATCAATTATGGTTTGATTTTAAAATAATATTTTATTTTTTAAAATAATATATATATATATATATATATATATATTGTAACATTATTTCAAGAATAAATTATTATTATTTAAATGCTATTCGTTTATTAAATGCACCATAAGAAGTGGACTTTAACATATGTTATTTTATATTGTTTTTTAATCAATGGATATTCCAATTATTTTTCTTTATAGGTAAAATTTTTCCCTTTCAGCATCCTCTTAATTATAAAGGTAGCTATATTATATTGAAAGATCATTTAAATGCCTATGTGATAAGAGTGTAAGAGTGGCCTTGAGAATATTCTTTTAAAATTCAAAAGGCCTTTTTTTTTTTGAGTGGTCATAATATTAACAAATATTTTTTATTTTATTATAGTCATTATTATATTTTTGTATTTATTATTATTATTATTATTTAAAATTATAAAATTAAATTAATTAATATTATTAAACTCTTTTAAATTAATAAACCGAGTTATAGATTATCTTCATCCTTTAAAAATATTATCTTTTTTCTTAAAAAAAATTCACATGGAAGCTAATTTTGAATTCAAAATAGCCCAACCCACCAAGGGTCCAAGAATACAAGAAGCCCATTTATTCACGATCTAATCCTCATGATTGCCAACCACTGCCAAAGCTGTCTTCATTGGTCATGGCTTCATGCTCACCATTTGTTCTTCCACTTAGAGCCAAGCAACAAGATTCAGGTAACTGTCTCAAACATCCACATACGACTTGTTCTTCAAGTATAACGTTAGATATCCACTCTGAATCTTGTTTCACAGGAATACATGGAACCAATTCTGGTAAGCAAGAAATTAAGATTCTTGGGGTCCATGATTTTTTTCACAACTCTTCAACTGCTAGACGTTGCTGTGTTAGAGTTAAGGTCAGAGTTCATATCACTCTTCCTGTTTAAAATCATAAGTCTTGCTTATATTATGATTCTCTGAACTCCAATGGTGGAGGTATTCAGACTTGCAAGAGCTTATAAATGTTCATTTGTTGCATTAATTTTCTTGACGGCACACCACATAGGCTAATCTGATTGTTGGTGTGATGATAGGCTGCTCCAGGTAATCGAAAAACGAAGCCGAATAGTATGATTTGTGCTGACTGTGATGGAAATGGTAAGCAAACTAAAGTTAAGTAGCCCATCTTAGAATTGTGATAGAAAATGCATGCATGCGGCTACTGATTTAGAGTTTTGTTTCGTTGTCCAACTACCAGGTGCTGTTCTGTGCTCTCAGTGCGAAGGCAGTGGAGTGAACTCTGCTGATCTTTTCAATGGCCGATTTAAAGCTGGTGATTCATGCTGGCTTTGTGGGTAAGTACTCATACAGGCTTTAATTGTTACCTGATCTTGTGGACTGTGGCACACATGAATCACTTCTTATTTATTGAGTTATCTTGCAGTGGCAGAAAGGAAATGCTGTGTGGGAATTGCAATGGAGCTGGATTCATCGGTGGTTTCATGAGCACTTTTGATGAGTAGAAGCATCTGTATGATACAATTGGATGGAGATATTCATGTAAATGCAGCCAGTCATGTGTGTAATCTGTTCAAATAGATAAAAACAAGATCCAATATGGGCTCCCTGACTGTTTCTGTACAGGTTCAACAGTATACAATGATATATGTAGATATCATGTTATTCTGTATTGATGTCAGTGGTTATTAATTTGCATAAGATACCTTGATATTTCTTGAAACTGCTGATGTACAAAACCAGACAGATCAGTCGGTAATGGAAGGAGTTGAGGTTTCTACCTGTCACTGTAGCAGGTGGAACTTCACAATATCTCTGAATATTTATTGCGATAGCAGTACTAGCGAATCCTTCATCACATGGCTACCAAATCCGAACAAGACTAGAATTTTTGCATACTAGCTGGTGGCAGCATGCACATATGATCTGTGACACCATCTGAGATGCTAATGTCTCCTCATGAACGCGCTCATCAGTTGTCGGGGCGAAGGAGTTGCCTCAGATTCAGGACAGAGCACATGAAAATTCATTGCCATTCAGCTTCAACCAATTCCACTTCTTTCACCCCTTTTCTTGCCAAAAACTGTGCATGCATCACTCCCCTTTCGTTCAAGAAATCCAAGCCAATCACAGAAACTACAACCGCTGGAAACTCACTCCATTCACCTGCTGATACATCTTGAAGAATCTCAAAATTACAGCCAAAGTAGTTACGGTTTGATCATTCTCGTATGCTTTAGACCCCAAAACATATCACTCATCAACGCGTCTTCTCTTTCTTAGTCCTTTTCTCACTCCCGAAACAAGGATGAATCAGCACCAACCCTTTGGTTTTAATAAGACAATCTCCTCTCCTCATTGTTCTGATTGCAACCTGGCGTGTTATGTTTCATCCAGCACTATCTCCAGAAAGAAACAATCGGAGAAAAATCAGCCTGCTTAATAAGCCAAGGGTCAGAGCTTGCATTGTTACAGAGTCATTCAAGTGAGCTGAAACAATCATCGTAACCAATCGGAAGGCGATTCTCCGGTGCCAAACGATAGTCAACAGAAAGGACAATGGACTGAGACGCCACAGATAAATCTCCAGGGAAGTGATGGAACCCAAGCCATGTGGTTGAGCAAAAGCGAAAGCAACCTCCGTGAAAAAAAAAAAACCACAACCGGAAGCTGAATCATGGAATCTGGAGCATCAGGAAGGGACAATCTTGCAGTTATTTTCTTAGATGAGTCAATGGTCACATCTTTGAACTTGAATCCATTGGAATATGATTTGGATGTGGTGGGGCAAACCGTTTCACCAACCCATCAAAAAAGACTTGCAGGAAGCCAGGTATCTCTGCAACTATAGACATTTTGGTTAACAAAATGAAGGTGATTAAGGCCCTGATATCTCACACAAAGCAATTGAGAATATAATGTAAGGATATAAAGGATCATATGGCTATGCTGATGAGTAAATGGCAATGTGCAAGGTCAGAGTCAAGAGGAATAGGATGATCATTTGAGGTTGCAATGCATTGATTAACAGGAAAACGATGTTAAATAACGTGATAACATGATGGGCAAAGCTGACTGGAAGATGCCATGATTACTAACACCAAAAAATGTTAGGTTGGTCATCTAAAGGAACCAGCCATCTCTGGATTTACAAGAGCCAAAATTCATGAATCATGGTCATGTTTCTTTTCTTTGAGGTTAAGAAACTGTTGATGCACTTGATTCTGTGTTCTAATAAAATGTTCAGAAAAAATAAAGGGCAATTGGCCAACTTAATGTTCTGGTGTTTCTTCAAAATTGCTTATGCACTTGATCAGTCTGTTTTATTTTAATATTTTCTCTGAATAAAAGCCAGTAATACAAAGTCAGAAAGATCAGTTAGTTGAGGCAGGAAATGGAGGTATGGGCTATGGCAATAAAAGGTTCAAGATGTTCTGTGTTGTGACACCTATCACCATCAGCCCTTTGGAAGAAACTCTGATAAACCATTTGTGGATATGCACTTCATTGAGAATATTTATTTCAATCTTTATTTATTATAATATCAGAGCTAGAGATCATTCCTACTAACATTTTATCAATTTCTATGATTTAGCAAACTGGAAGCAGGCACCTGTGATCTATATGAAAGACTCCTGAGATGCTAATGGATCTTCATAAACTCACTCATCTGTTGTTGAAGAATGAGAGTTGCCTCAGATTGGGGATAAAACACATGAAAGACATGATTTTGCCCCTCAGCTTCTACCAGTGTCACTTCTTTCACCCCTTTCTTTGCCAGAAACTGTGCATACATCACTCCCCTTTCATTCAAGAAATCCAAGCCAGCCACATAAACCGCCACTGCTGGAAAAGCACTCCATTCAGCTGCAGATACATCTTGCATCTCGAAGTTACATCCAAAGTAATCTCGGTTAGACCCTTCTGGTATACTTAGACCCCAGAACATGTCATTCATCGCCGCGTCCCCTGGTGCCCCTTCAGACATCTCTTTCTTAGTCCTTTTCTCACTTCCAAAATAAGGATGAATCAACATCAATCCTTTGATTTCAACCTGATAGGTTTTACTCCTTACTGCCCTGATAGCAACCTGGTGTGTAATGTTCCCTCCAGCACTGTCTCCAGATAGAAACACTCGAGACAGATCAGCCTGCTTAAGCCAAGGTTCAGAACTCACGTTGTTACTTAGCCATTCAAGTGAGCGGAAACAATCATCGTAAGCAATCGGAAGGCGATTCTCCGGTGCCAAACGATAGTCAACGGAAAGGACAACGGACTGGGATGCGACGGAGAAGTCTCCAAGGAAGTGATGGAATCCAAGCCAGGTGGTTGAGCAAATACAAAAGCCACCACCATGAAAATAAACCACAACTGGAAGCTGACTGACAGACCCTTGAGTATCAGGAACAAACAACCTCGCGGTTATTGGCTTCGATGAGTCAATCACCACATCCTTGAACTTGAATCCATCGGAATATGATTCCGCTGAGTCAGGGACTGTTTCTGAGGCAAACCGTTTTACAGAGCCATCAGAAAAGACTTGGAGGTATCCAGGTGCTTCTGCAACAATGGACATTTTTGTTAAAGATGGATGTATTCAAGGAGATCAAGGCCTTGAAGTTTCACAGAAAGCAATGGAGACTGAGTGCAGGGATATAAGGGATCATACGGTTCTGCTGAGATATAAGTAAAGGTGATGGGCAGGTTCAGAGTCAGAAGAGGAACAGGATGGTCATTTAGAGGGCATTAGGGAATCAATATTATTATTATATAAGCGGAATTAGCATGGAAATTTCATTCAAGAAATAAAGAAGAAGATGGAGTCTCTGTTAGGTTGATCACATAAAAATGTGCAATTAATTAGTCAACCTAGCCTTCTCAGGTGCAGCAATAACCAAATTCATTAAAAATAACAAAAACTATAGATTTCATCGCGCCAGATAGGGGTCGAACCTATGACCTTCTGCTTAGGAAACAGACGCTCTATCCACTGAGCTACAGGCGCTTGTTGGTGCCATCGCTATGCAGTAAATATATTTTGTACGTTTGTCAACTCATACCGCTTTTCAAAAATATTAAAATAATATAATCTTATTTTTAATATTACCCGCCCAAAACTATTAAAAAACACTTAAAAATAATACTAATTCCATGTTTTTTTTGGCACTTTACAAAAAAATAAGTTAAATCACATTACCAAATACCCCGTGATGGCAATATGGATATTTTTAAACAGAACTTAAAATTCAACACAAATATATACAGGTGTATGTGTTGCACAGCATTGGTATATATAATATTTATTATTTTATTATTTAATATATGCATACATGCATGCATACTACTCTTTTATTTTATACCGTATAATAAATAATATTAAGTTAATAAATAATTGAATAAATATCAAGCTATCTGAATATATAAATATAATTGAAACAGAGCCATGAATATTCATTTATTAATAAAAGCAAAAACCATCTTCCCAGAAATATAAAATAAAAATTGAGTGTAGCCCAAGTATTAGTACAGGATAGACACATTTTGAGGTACATAAGTTGATAAAAATGATGTGAAATTAATTGGTTAGCAGCGAGATAAAGTCACAACCAAATTTTTATTCCACAAAAAAACAAATAGCAGGGCATCCTTCTAATATTTAAGAATTTACAGGAATAAAATGAAGAGTCACTAAGCTATGATTTAAGCACACCAATGTCACGGTATCAGAATCCATGTGTATAATATAAGACGATGAGAAATTAACAAGTTAGCTTTTCTGATTTTCTCGAAAAACAGTATGAAGAAGTCTATTTGGCTGCTTGTTCCAAGACATTAACTTTCTTCCAATCCCCCTCCTGTGTATTAACTTGCAAAGGGGGCAATGAATACACGCTTACAGTTGAGCTTCCACTCCGAATATCCTTCAAGACGCGAAGTGCTGACAGTGTTAGCTTCACGTACATGCTTTCCATATACTCTATCTCTGGGAGTTCGCTGGGAACTCTGAGCGACCTCTCTGAACTCTCAGTTGAAGTTTCGGTATCAAGGCCGCTTGTCTCATCAGTTATTTGAGGAGAGACTGATGGTTCTTTTCTAGAGAAAATATGATCCAGCATCGTCTCACACGCCTTAATAAGCTTGTTAAGTACATGAGTTGTGTAGAATGGCTGTTGCATAATCCTTTGGATGAAGGGCATGCGGACCAGAGCTCCAGTTCTCTTATCATATTTCTTCAGTATCTTCACTAGTCCTGCAAACAGAACGCAAAGATTCAGAAGAATAATTTCAAGTTGTTGAATGAGAAAAACCTCCATTCCAAGCACTTCTTCGACTTAGGCCTGGTTTAGGATAAGTAGCTGCCTCAGTGGCAGGTTTCTTTGTTGCCCTTTTTTTCCTCCCACTAAACAGGTGACCCTCATGCACGCAATACCAGAGACTTATCTCTATACAAGTCTAATCAATTCCCATCAAGTGGCACGACTGAGCTCATGTCAACTTAATATGCATTCCTATTTGCCATAGTCTCTCGATTTGTATGCCATTCACCATAACATTGACAATGTCACCTAAAGGCTAGTTGCTCACAAGGATATAAATCATATTCAATGAACTGTCCATCACGCTTAATCCACAAAGATCACAGGACTTCACCAACCACAGAAAAGGGAGACAAATACCTGTATAGTTAAGGGCACTGTAATTCTCCAACAACACCATCTCTCCATGAAAATCCACTATCTCCCTCCCTACTTTCATCAGCTCTTCATTTGAATCCTTCACCTTTTCTGCTCTATCTTGTAGCTCCTGCATTGCAACCACAGCCCAAAAATCACATTTCAATTAAAATACATGTCAACTCAACCACATTCTCCCAAATCCCATCACTTTATAAAAAGAAATGCACTTCAAGTCTATAAATTTCACTCTTTTTTTCATGTTCATGTCGACCAATCACTTGAATTCTACATCAACAATTAAACACACTAATTCCTATCTTCTAAAAATGCAATTCAAACCCAAAAAGTTTATTCAATACACTCGATATCACTCGCATGCAAATGAGCCCTGAATCCAGATTACCCCCCTCTCGCATTCATGTGGGACCCACTTGAAAAGGAGGGAGCATGATCCATGAGATAACCTGCTTTCTTTCTTTTCTTCTCTTCTTCTTCTTCTTCTTCTTTTTTTTCCATATAATCACTAGCAATTTCATAAAAACCGTAAGAAAAAATATGTTTTCTACCCAAAACCCAATCACTGAAGACATATTAATATTGAAAAAAATAAATAAAAAATAAAATATGTTTTCTACCCAAAACCCAATCACTGAAGACATATTAATATTGAAAAAAAAAAATTAACATGTAATATCAATTAAAAAAAGGTCAAGACCAAACAAACAAACATGAACTACAAAAATAAAATCTAAATCGAAATTAAAATTCAAATAAGCAAAAAAATATACCTTCCATTTGATAACATAATCCTCTTCTTTCTCGACAATAAAAGAATTGAACTTCTCCATCTCATCTTCCAAAACCCTAACAAAATCAATTACCTCCTTCTCCACCTCACCACTTTCCATTTGATCATCATCCAATCTAGGCCGTTTATTCAGTGGCTTATCACCCTCCTTGGGATAAATTAACTTCAATTGTTTCTTCAGATCTTTATAAGATAAGAACTTATCTCTCCAATCTGGCAACGTTTCCTCCATTAAATTACTTAAACTCTTCCAGAACTTCATTGTTTTCCTCACCGCACCAGATCACTGCCACTGGAGAAGACAATCGTTAAATGAATGGTGATGGCAACTATTTATTTAACTTTTCTGATTATAAGAGATAATTTTGAGAGAGAGAGAGCGAAGAGGAACGAGAAAAGAGAGGCGGCTGGCTGTTTGTCAGTTAGAGAGAGAGAATGCGGGGCGTAAAGCAGAATAGAATATTCGTAGGAACTCGAATATCCTCTTTGTGCTCGTCTCCTCAGAGAGTGAGAGGACATAATCTTTTCTGATGACTACAAATTGATCCCTAAACTATAAATTATATTTTCATAATGCCATCAAAGTTTCAATATTAACCGATTTTAGTCTTGAATTAGTAGGTTTTAATCAGTGCTGTCCTTATCAGAAAAATTAACAGAATTTATTTGTATAGCAGGAAGCAAAAACAAATTAAATTAAATTATATGCATACAATGATCTTTCTCATTTTTCGGATAAGTTGGTTTTATCAAATTTAAATAAATTATTTTATTTGATATGATTTGATAAGTTTTTTCTTTTTTTATTCAAAAAAATAGTATATAATATCAAATTATTTTTTTTCTTCTCACATAAATATAAAATTTATAACAAAAACTATTTATGAATCCCAACTTTGTGTGAGAAAAAGGAAAATAATTCTTGAAATACTAAATAATTAACAGGGTAAACATCAAATTTCAAATTAAATTATATGTTTGCTATAATTTTTTATTTAGATTGTGCACGTGTATAATAATGTGTTGTTTTATTTGGTGATTTTCACAAGTACATTTTGGAAGTTGAATAGTTTGGTTTTGTGTCAATGGGATTAATACTTATATTTTAAAAGTATTTTTGAAAAAAAATTAAAAATTTTTACTATTTTATTTTAAATTAATATTTTTTTAGTGTTATATTTTGTAATATTAAAAATAATTTTTAAAAAATAAAAAATATTATTTTAATATATTTTTAAATAAAAAAACATTTAAAAAACAATTATTAAATTTTGATAATATATATTGTAAATAATTAGTGGCATGCCACGTGCCTTTGTTTGTAACTGCATGCCCAGCCAAAACTTTTTTATGCGAATATGACAGTTATATAAAAAACATCTTAACATAATAAAATAAAAAATATCAATGAAATTATAATAATATACAAAATAAACTATAATTTAAATAATAGTTATAGCACACTCAAGTCTCAAGTTATTGGTTGATAATATTTTGTATTATTAATTATTTATGTTATTAAAAAAAATTTAATGATACCAATAATATTATAATTCAAGCTTTAATATACCTATAAAATTTTTATATTTATTTATTTTTCTTTTTTTTTCCTCACATACATCCTATTAACTCTTTTTGAATGACATTATTCTAATAGTTATAATTATTTTTTAAAGTATTTTTTATTTAAAAATATATTAAAATAATATTTTTTTATATTTTTAAAATTTTATTTTTGAATTCAATGTATTAAAATTATTTAAAAATACTAAAAATATATTAATTTAAAATAAAAAATAAAAAATAAATTAAATTTTTTTAAAATGTAAAAATAAATAAGAACTTAAATGTAGAATACATTTTTTAATTAATGCTTTTTCAGTAATTTATTTAAACTGTATTACTTTACTAATATTTTTTTTTTAAAAAAAACATGTTAATAAGCAAAAATAGCAACCCCAGGCGGGGAAAAGAGAAAGTGACCTCAGCTAAAGAAAAATGGTCTCTTTTTCTCGGAACAACTTTTTCAAGGAGGTAAGCACAAGTCCAAAGTTACTTCACATGCAGGCTGATGACCAAGACAGCTTCACAAGCAAGCTGATGACCAAGACAGCTTCCCGTACAAGCTATTAACCAAGACACATGCTATATATATATCACCTTTGTTCTCCTTGTTTAGCAAACTCACTGAAAACACATGAAGATTGTCTCAATTCTAGCTTGATCAGGATCGTAACTTTAAAAGAGATAAACAGAAAGGTTAGTACTTTTATTTTGATGATACATTATTGTGTGATTCATTTTGATTTAGATTGTGCATGTGTATAATAACGTGTCCTGGGTTTTGCAATGGGGGAACGGGTTCTGTTTCATGAAAAGGGGTGATGGGGTTTGATAAAATGGTTTTTTTTCGTCATCTTAATAGTATATGATGCATTGGTTTAGATTGTTCACGTGTTAGCAAGTGTGTCCTGGGTTTCGCTATGGAAAGATGGGTTCTTTTTAATGAATGGGTTGATGGGGTTTGTTGAAATCCTGTCTGGTTGCTGAGAAGGTGTAAAGAGAACGGAACTAAGGTGTTTTTATTTTATTTTATTAAAGCTGCAAACTTTCGCAAATGGATTGTTTCTATTTGGTAAACTTGTTACAAGCATGGGAAAGTGCCCTTTTTTTCAGTTTAATAATATATGATCATGTTTTTCACTGGTTTAGATTGTTTATATGATAATTAGTTTGTCCCGGGTGTTGCATTGGAAAAATGTTGTTCTTATATGAAATGGGTTGATGGGGTTTGTTGAAATTCTGTTCGGGAACTAATAAGTGTTAAGAGAATTGGAATTTGGGTTTTTTTTATAAAAAATATAAGTCAAGGCCCCAAACTTCTCAATTGAGTTGTTTCTATTTGTAAACTTGTTAAAAGTATTTTGCTTAGCGGGAAAGAGCTTTTGCTTTGTTATTTTGATGTATACGATATTTGACACGTTTGATTTATTTTGATTATGTGTTAACTAGTGTGTCCTGGGTTTTGCTGTGGACCAATGGGGCTTCTTGTGGAGCACATTACCATGGCTCATTTGAAATTCTGTTTGTTACTGAGAAAGTGGAAGGAAAATTGAAACAGGCACGGTTTTAGATTAAAGCCCCATGTTTTCAAATGAGTTGTGTCTTTTTGGTGATTTTCACAAGTATTTGAGACCATGTCTATGTGGGAAGTTGAATACTTTGGTTTTGTGTTAATGGGGTTAAATCAAAATTCTGTTACATTTGAAATATGCAGTCAAAGAATGAGATTTTGATAGTCTGTGTTGTAAATGATTAGTGGCATGCCATATGCCTTTGTTGGTAAATACATATTTAAGATTCTTTCTAGAAAAAAATTCCAGTCTTGAGCTTTATATTTCGTTTGTTGTTGGCACTTGTTGTGAATTTGTTATTTCATTCGTTTATTTGAGAGAATGCGTCGGGTTGATGTTCAATGTGTTGCAAGAAAGTATAAGCTTTAATATCTCTTTTCTGTTTGTCATGTTTTCTTTAACAGGTTCTAGGTGGAAGATTTTGCTATAATCTTTAGCAGCAGGTGAATCTTTAACAATAGAATGGAGGCAGAAGGAAGTGCGAAGGAAACAGTGGTAACCCAAGTTAGTGTTGGTGGGTTTGGCATTCATGTCACTGCAAAAGATCTTTCGGAATACTTGGACAGAGCTATTGGACTTGTTTGGCGGTGTAGATTGAAGACTTCGTGGACTCCTCCTGAGTCCTATCCCAACTTCGAGATCACTGACATCACAAAGATCGAAAGGACAGAAGATTATAGGAGAGTGGTGCCCCATGCATTTGTGCATTTTGCCTTACCTCAATCAGCGACTTGGGCTATGAATGCTTCAGAGCGCTGCGAGCTCTTCTTGAATGACAAAGCATTGAAGGTTAGCTTGGGGCCTAAAAATCCTTTCACCTTGAATCAGCAGAGGAGGACAACAACTCCCTTTAAGCTATCTGATGTGGGCTTTGAGATAGGGAGCTTGGTTAGTCATGACGAGTTCTTTGTTGGTTGGAGAGGACCTCCCTCTGGTGTTGATTTTCTAGTAGATCCTTTTGATGGAACATGCAGGTTTTGTTTCTCTAGAAATACTGCTTTCTCCCTCAAAAGTACATCTGAACATGCTGTTATAAAATGTGCTTTTAAAGTGGAGTTCCTAGTGAGAGACATTAATGAGATCATACAGTACACTGAAACATCATGTCTAGTTCTTTTGTTGCAGCTGGCTTCTGCACCTTGGGTCTGGTATAGAACTGCTGATGATGATATTGAAGCATGGGTTCCTTTTGATTTGTTGGATGATGATGATCCTTGGATCCGGACCACAGATTTTACAGGGAGTGGGGCTATTGGTCGGTGCCATTCTTATAGAGTGTCAATCCCTCCTCGTCATGGTTCAAAGTTGAGAAAGGCTGTGAAATATCTCAAGGAACGGAGGGTTGAGGTCCTTCAAGAGGAAAACCACAGACGACGGATCAGGATTTTGGACGAACCGGACTTTGGAATGCCCATGTCAGATCCATTCTTTTGTATTCATCACAAGGAGGGAATAGCTTTTGATGTATTGTTTTTAGTGAATGCTGTCATGCATAAAGGCATATTCAATCAGCATCAATTATCAAATGACTTCTTTGACTTGTTGAGAAATCAACATACTGAAGTCAATGTGTCTGCACTGAAACACATCTGTACTTACAGACGCCCTGTGTTCAACGCTTATAAGAGGCTTAAAGCTGTCCAAGAATGGTTGCTGAAGAACCCAAACCTTTTTAAAAATCCAAAACAGTTGGGCGACATTGTAGAGATTAGAAGGCTGGTCATCACTCCAACTAAAGCCTACTGCCTTCCACCTGAAGTCGAACTCTCCAATAGGGTTTTGAGGAAATACAAGGATGTTGCTGATCGATTTCTCAGAGTTACCTTCATGGATGAGGGCTTGCAGAGAATGAATTCAAATGTTCTAAACTATTATGTTGCTCCTATTGTCAGAGACATCACATCTAACTCCTTCCATCAGAAAACAAGAATCTTCAAACGAGTGAGGAGCATTCTGACTGAAGGGTTTTATTTATGTGGTCGGAGATACTCCTTTTTGGCCTTCTCAGCCAATCAACTGAGGGACCAATCTGCTTGGTTTTTTGCTGAAGAAAGAAATGTAAGTGTGCTGGATATTAAAAGCTGGATGGGGAAGTTCACCAATAGGAACATTGCAAAGTGTGCGGCAAGAATGGGTCAGTGTTTCTCCTCCACTTATGCGACTATAGAAGTTCCACCAGAGGAGGTTAATTTTGATCTTCCTGATATTGAAAGGAATGGCTATGTTTTCTCTGATGGCATTGGCATTATCACTCCAGATCTTGCCAGGGAAGTTGCAGAGAAACTCAAGTTAGATATTGATCCCCCCTGCGCTTACCAAATCAGATATGCTGGTTGCAAAGGAGTGGTGGCTTGTTGGCCGGGGAAAGGTGACGGTGTCCACTTGTCTTTGAGGCCGAGCATGAACAAGTTCCAATCAAACCATACGACTTTGGAAATCTGTTCTTGGACTAGGTTTCAACCTGGTTTCCTAAACAGGCAGATAATTACACTGCTCTCAACTCTCAATGTTCCTGATGCAGTATTCTGGAAGATGCAGGAAACCATGGTCTCCAAACTAAACCAAATGTTTGTTAACTCGGATGTTGCATTTGATGTCCTCACTGCATCATGTGCTGACCAAGGGAATGTTGCTGCTATAATGTTGAGTGCAGGTTTCAAGCCTCAGAAGGAACCTCATTTACGAGGAATGCTAACTTGTGTAAGGGCAGCACAGCTTTGGGGCCTTAGAGAAAAGGCTCGAATTTTTGTTCCCTCAGGAAGATGGTTGATGGGCTGCTTGGACGAGCTAGGGATGCTTGAACAAGGCCAGTGCTTTATTCAAGTGTCAAATTCATCTCTGGAAAAATGTTTTATCAAGCATGGCGCAAAGTTTAGTGAGGCCAAGAAAAATCTTCAAGTTGTCAAAGGGACTGTGGTAATAGCTAAGAATCCCTGTCTTCATCCTGGAGATGTAAGGGTTTTGGAAGCGGTTGATGTCCCAGGACTTCACCACTTGTATGATTGCCTTGTCTTCCCACAGAAAGGTGAGAGGCCCCACACAAATGAAGCTTCTGGAAGTGATCTTGATGGGGATCTCTACTTTGTCACTTGGGATGAAAACCTAATTCCTCCCAGTAAGAGGAGCTGGATACCCATGCAGTATGACGCTGCAGAAGCTAAACTTCTTGCTCGTCCTGTCAATCATCAGGTATCTATGTGCTTTATTCAAATATTACCTCTGAAGTTTGTGGAATATTGTAGTGCTTGTAATGTTATCTGCAAATATATTTTTCACTCCTGTTACCTTGAGAGAGTTTCTTCATCTCCTTTACGCTGTAAATTGGGTAGCTCATACATGTCCCTAATCTTAAGCATAATACCCATGTGAAGAACCTTCATGCCAGTTTTAACTTTCATAAACATACTGGGAGGATTTTTTGTATTTTTGTCTCTTTTAATCCAGGATATATGATAGCAGTTCTCAAGTTCAGTATCATCGAACTTTCTGAGCTGCAAGTCTTGTATCTGCACCTTCTCTAAACCATTTGCATGCATCAGACATCAGGGGCAACTAGTTCATGCAATGTTAGGAGTTTGAGCATTATAGGAGTGCAGGTTCTGATTTTAATAGAAACCTTTCTGTGTAAAAATGCTGAAGGATGCCAGTTTCCAAACTCCTTTTCCCTGGGTTCCACCTGAAGGAAGGTTATAACCGGGTATTAGCCTTTTTCTTATAAAAACAAGAAAAACTTTGCTGCATCATTCTAATTGTACTATGTTGCTGAACTGGAAGAACAGATATGAGGGAAAATCATGCTTGGCAGAAACTGATATTTTGTATCATGTATACATTTCTGAATACCGCTGAGGATTCGGATTGGGGGTCATTTAATTATTTTGTGGTTGGGGGATAAACCGTGTAGAATGCCATGCATGCCACTGAGTAAATTACTAATGTTTTGTATTTTTGTCATACAGGATATTATAGAATTCTTTGCAAAAAACATGGTGAACGAGAATTTAGGGGCAATATGCAATGCACACGTGGTTCATGCTGATTTGAGTGAGCATGGTGCTATGGATGAGAAGTGCCTAACGCTGGCAGAGTTAGCCGCTACAGCTGTCGATTTTCCCAAGACTGGGAAAGTTGTTACGATGCCTTCGTATTTGAAACCGAAGGTGTACCCAGATTTTATGGGGAAAGAGGAATACCAGTCCTACAAATCAGAGAAAATTTTGGGAAGGCTATATCGCCAGATAAAAGATGCTTATGATGAAGATGTAGCTGCATCTTCTGAGCTTAATCCCGTGCCTGGTGATATCCCTTATGATTCTGATCTTGAAGTGGTGGGAGCTAGTGATTATATCAATGATGCCTGGGATCAGAAGTGCTCATATGATGGGCAGTTGAATGGCCTTCTTTCTCAGTATAAAGTGAAGAGGGAAGAAGAGCTTGTAACAGGGCACATATGGTCTATGCCAAAGTACAGCAGCCGGAAGCAAGGAGAGCTGAAAGATAGGCTTAAACATTCTTACAATTCTTTAAAGAAAGAATTCAGGCAAATCTTTGAGAAAATGGATTTAGAGTTTGAGCAACTTGAGGATGGTGAAAAGAACAAGCTTTATGAGCAGAAGGCGTCAGCTTGGTACCAGGTTGCCTACCATCCTCATTGGGTGAAGAAGTCTCTGGAGTTACAAGATCCAGATGGTGCTGGTACTTCAGTGATGCTGAGCTTTGGTTGGATTGCAGCTGATTACCTTGCTCGGATCAAGATTCGGCATAGGGAAACGGGAAATGTTGACTCTGCTAAGCCTGTCAACTCACTGGCCAAGTATCTTGCTGACAGAATTTGACCAGCATCTGAAAGTGTTACCTAGTTATGTATTGTGGCCGTGATACTTTTTGGCTGCAATGCCACTCTGCTATAATATTGTAAATACTAGTAACTGTCGTGTTTTTATTATATAAGATGCTGGATTTTGAACTGGTATCATCACTGTTGCTAATAGTGTTCTCATGTTGCAATGACAGTCCTTTGGAATGATCTAGTGGTTTTATTTCCTACGATCAGGTCAGAAAGCTTGGAAGTCATTTTTTCTTGTTCTAGACATGAATATTTGCACCAGACACAAGTAGATATATCCTAGCAGTTGAGGTTCGGAATAACGTAAATAAGGAAACCCTACCTATGCAAGATTGAATGCAGTGCTGCTTGGACAACATCATTTAGTACAGTCAGCTAGGAAGCACTAGCTAGGCAAGTCATACTGGGAATGCTGTTCCACACATTGGCTCAATTCTACCTTCCACATCAAATTCTTCCTTCGCCCAGCTGAGAGGACTTTCTCTCTTCCTAAACTGGAAATACACGCTTTTATTTATTGAGGCTTTCAAGATCTTAGTACCCACCCCCCTTGCGTAACCCCCTTACCCTAGCGGTTGTATATCTGTTTACTTTTTGTGAAGCAGGTTTGAGTTATAATGATTTCAATTTCTTTTGTTATTATCATGTAATGGGGGGGGGATCCATCCTCTATAGTGTTGCCTGAGTCTCAATGGGCCTACTTATGATGTTGATTCGGTGCACAGCCTGGAGCTGCAGGACTGAACTGCAACCACACACTTTCATGTTTCTGGTTTCAATGGAACTTTTATTATTATTATTATTATTATTATTGAAACTTGGTTTTTCACAAGTTCATATAGCATATGATGTGGATTGCTATTGTTCAGGATTTATAATTTTTTAGTAGCCTGGTTAAGTTTTCCAGTTAGTTCTTTTATTCTGCTGCAGGAACCCAGAAACAGTTCTATCATACTTGCACGAAATTAAATTAGGATCTATCAGTTCTTTTTTAGAGATGGTTGGCTCTGTATGGTAGTTGGCTGCTCTACTCTATCCTGATATACAGAGCAAGAAGAGAGGATTGGTCAAATTGTCAACGTGTAGTGAAGCTTTTCTCAGTTCTGTTCAGTCCCGAATCAGGAATGAGAGAGTGTGCACTTGATGCCGAATTGCTTGCAAATTTTTTCTTGTCACGGTGAAATATTATCCCGTTGTTGGATATCCAAATTAGCATGAATATCTAGATTTATATAAAAGCAAGAAATATTATTTTTAAGATTTTTGATGTAGATTATAATGACATCAATAACATTACATAACTATATTAAAAAAAAATCATAAAAAGTATAGTATTTATAAAATATAATTATAATTATAATTTCAATTTTATTCTTAATAATTTTCTATATTCATACATGCTAACTAAGATTAAAAGTAATTTAATGGAGTAATAAAAATAGGATATTAATGTTATATTTTTTATGATATGTTAAAAATTCAATACTCAATAATATAATTCACAACTATAAAATTACTGCATATTATTTTTATTCATTTTATTATAAACAATTATTTTAAAAATATTTTAATCAAATATACTATTTTTTACTCAACAACAATTTTAATTATAAATTCAACCATACATATATTTTAATCTAACAAGTCACATTTAAAAGAATTTTTGTAAAATTTATTTTTCTAATCACTATAAAACTAAATATTCATTTAGAATATCAAATTATTATAGACCAAATATTCATTTAGAATATCAAATTATTATTATAGACTACAAAAGCAAATGTTAAATGAAGTATAAAGTATTTATCACTGACATATTTTTTTTTTTAGATTAACGTGGGTGTCCAAGTTAGTTTGCGCACACCACGACTAATCTTACAGACCCTAAAATTAACGATCATATAAGTCTCCAGTAGTCATCATATAAGCAACCAAGAACTCAAATTTGAGACTAATCATATAAGCAACTAAGAACTCAAATCTGAGACACAAAAAAAACAAACTTCTAAATTTCAAGTTTTTATCATTTGACTATCATCTAGATGGTTACATGGTTCAATAGATTTTTATAAGTATTTTTATTAAATTATTTTTTGAGGTAAATATTTTTCATGTTACAATTTTATTTTTATTTTTTAGGGGAAGCTTTTTATCCCAAACATGCTAATTTTTATTTTTCATGTTACAATTTTATTTTTATTTTTATTTTTTAGGGGAAGTTTTCTATCCCAAACATGCTAATTTTTACGAGGCAGAATTAATTTTCCAAAACTTATTTTGCCGACAGGCATCTCTTCCGGTAGATGTCTACATCGATCCTAGGAAATTTCAAGCTTCATCTTTATTCTTGGAAAAGTAATATAAATTAATATTTTGTAGAAAAACACACATATATGATACATTATTATCACAATGGCGATGGTGCACTTTCATTAATTAATTGTATGAAAAATGCTTTAATGATGTAAAGTGGCATCAGGCTTTCTGTGCCAGACACCAAATTAATTAATGTTTTGTTTCAAAACGAGCTTGTATATGTAATTTTTTTATTATTTTTAATTCCATCGCATTAAAACTATAAAAAATAACTAAAAAACACAAATTTTATGTTTAATGGAAATGACTAAAAGAATATTAATTTAATGTAATCTCTTTGTACTTGTTTCACAAACCTGTTTTTTTTTTTTTTAATGAAAAAAATGCGTGCCAATCTTACCTGGCTTATCATAAGCCAAGTACTCTTATCTTTTGTACTAACCATAGGGGGTTAATTCTTGAGTCTTTTCTAACAATCAATACAAATGAAAATACAGCAACGTATTCTTCTACAACTTCATTCTCACATGTATTCAAGTACTTGTATTTTTATGATTAAATTCGCACACCTATAAACAGGCAGGTAGGTATGCATGCCCCATGTCACGCTCATCTAATGAATACTCGAGCCACTCTTCAGAAAAAGTATATAATATATGTACCTTTTCCACGACTGCTGCTGCAAATGCACAAAATCACGATGAACACCATGTGAATTCACCATGTTATTGGCTGATCATTCTCCTTGCAAATCAGGCAAACTGGTTTTATAAACACTCCACAAGTTATATCTAGGCTTGTGGCACCTAATCAACACAACTTGCATTGAGAAATTGTGTAAGGGTTCAAAGCAAGTGATTATTGGTTTGTACAATATTTCCAGTCACCAATCACAAGAACAAATAAGTTCCTTAAACCATGGAGATTATGAGGTGGGATTCTGTGATTGGCAACTATACATGGAGGAATTGGACAAGGGATTGGAGAAGGGATTCTTATACTAGCTAGCTACCATGGAGGACATGTATGCATGGACAAGGTTCAAGAAGGTTTAATGTCTAAACCCCACAAGAAATAGAGGTAAATTAATGTCAATTCCGATTAAGCAGTTCTTCTATCATTTGCATAGCAATTCTATCCTCTTCCTCCGTACCATTTTCCGGCTCAATCTCAACCGTCGACGATGACTCTGTCTTCTTGTTGTAATTTCCAAGCTCCACCTTCATGACCCAATTTGAACTTGAACGAGAACCAGCTTTCTTCTGCCACACACCAATATGAGAGTTATCATTATCAAGCCTCAGGCAAGTGAGTGAAGGAGAAGGGTCTTTGCCGCAACACTTTCTTAGCTTTGAGTTGAGAAGCTCAGCCAGTGCCTTGGCAGGCAAGGGGGAGTTGTCATCTTTGCCAAGATTTGTGTCTTGATCAAGGTGAGTACTTGTCGGGAAATTGGTCTTGGCACTCTGTCCATTCATCAATATAGCTGCTTGATCATACGCTCTTGCTGCTGCCTCAGCTGTCTCAAATGTCCCCAGCCACACCCTCCTCTTCCTGTACACAAAATAAACAAGAAACATTGAATTAATACCCCAAGCTAGCCCATATCACACCCTTCTCTCTACATTAAAGAGAAATGCCCATATCATAATGTGGCTAGCTTGCTAGCTAGCTAGGTTAGAGGTCTTTATACTTCCCAAGGAGGTAGATGATCTTATTAATGAAGTGAGTGGGTGAGGGGGGGAGACTTACAGTAATGGGTGGCGAATTTCAGACACCCAAGAGCCCCACTGGCGTTGCCTGACGCCTCTGAATTTCTTTGATTGTACCATGTTTAGGGAGAGGCAATCTAGAAAAATATTGCAGAGATCATAATGATAATGGTAAGTACGAGAGTGATCGGAGAGAAGCGAATGTGTTGTGGTGAAGGGTAAATATGAAAAGTGGACCTTGCACTTAATATGTAGACAAATTTATGTGAATTGTCGGTGAATTGGATGGGAAAAGTCTAAAGCCGCAATAAAGATTTCACCTACACATGAATTGGTGTTATGGAAAAGCTTTGGCTACTTTCATACCAACTGGAATAAATGATATCATATACTCATTGATTTGCCCAGCTGAGCAACATCTAACATGATCTGCCAATGAAATCAAGAGGAGTTTGAGAAGAATCCCGATAAGTATGGCTTAGCTGATTAGGTTTTAAGTTTGATCTTTAGAGATATTAGTTCGAGTTTCATAAATCTCAAGGTCACTGAAAACTTATATGATTGTTAATTTTATAATTTGTAAAATTAGTTGAGATACACACAAGCTAGGCTGAGCAACATCTAACATGATCTGCCAATGAAATCAAGAGGAGTTTGAGAAGAATCCCGATAAGTATGGCTTAGCTGATTAGGTTTTAAGTTTGATCTTTAGATATATTAGTTCGAGTTTCATAAATTTCAAGATCACTGAAAACTTACATGATTGTTAATTTTATAATTTGTAGAATTAGTTGAGATACATACAAGCTAGCCTGAACATCTATATTAATAAAAAAAAAAAAAAGTAACCAAGAAGCTTACATAAATGTCAACACCAAAGTACACATGCGTGCAAACATTGCGCATGCTACGTGCTGCTGGAGAAAATAATTTCAAGGGTTGAGTTTTTCATGGCTGCACTGAAAACTTACATGATTGTTAATTTTATAATTTGTAGAATTAGTTGAGATACATACAAGCTAGCCTGAACATCTATATTAATATGTAAGCCTCCAGTGGCCATCATATGAGTAATCAAGGACTCGAACCTGAGACCACAGAGGGAGCAAACCCCTTAGTCCCAAGTCTTTACCACTTGACCACTACCTAGATGGTTGGCTGTATATTTTTATTTG